CCCCGACGCCGCCATCGCCACCAGTGCCACGGCCGCCACTACCGCCGCCGCTGCTGCCACCGTAGCCGCCGCCAACATTACCGCCGCCGAAACCGCCACCGACGCTGCCGCCGCCGAAGCCGCCGCCAGCGCTACCACCGCCGAAGCCGCCGCCAGCGCTGCCGCCGCCAAAACCGCCGCCTCCGCTGCCGCCGCCGTAACCCCCGCCAGAACCCCGGCCGGAGGAACCGCCGCCGACAAAGCCTCCGATGTTGCTGCCGCCGCTGAAGCCTCCGCTACCCCCGGCCCCGCCCCCGCCCCTACTCCCGCCGCCGTAGCCGCTGCTTCCCCGCGCGCTGCTGCCGCTGAACCCTCCCGCCCGAAGGCTCTTCCCGCTGAAGCCGCCGCCGTCGTCGCCTCCGCCGCCGCCGCTGTCGGGATTCGGGGGCGTGAGGGAGCCAGTGTCTGGCGGGAGAATCTTCCCGAAGGTGGAGAGGAACTGCTTGGTCTCCTGCACCTCGAAGCTCTCGCCGCCCTCGTGGTCCTCCAGCTTCTCCAGTTCCTCGGCGGCTGCGAGGCTGGCCAGGACTGCGGGCGGCGTAGGAGGAGGAGCATTAGTAATCTAACAAAGCACCGACCGACTCATTTCGATGTTACATTTTCATTAGAATTTTATAATCATTCGTAATTCGTATTAAGATGCAGCATCCAAAGATTAAATACTATGCACTGAGAAATTATTTTTCCCTACCTATATCTACATTAGTTACAAAGCGAGAACCGAACCCAAATTGAACAATATAATTTCCATTTATATGAAACTGGACACTGAGTATTACAATTGACTGGGATCTATATGGTATCATTAAACTTTTGCATTACACGGTTGGATGGATTTTGATAGTTTATCTGTCACATGGTCAGTGATAATCAATTTAAGGAAAAGAGCGCGGCCGGAACATCGATTTGAATTTGCCCGGTTACTCACTCTGCCGTTTCATGGGGCCCGTGATGAGCGCGGAACAATTAAATAGCTAATTAGCAGCGTGAAACTTAATCTATAAACTAATCAGTGATTGCCAATATTGGTGAAAAATCACTCGCCTGATAACATAGCACTTGCAAATATAAATGCAATGTGAACAGTTCATGGATCAGTGCTTATCTCTGTTATCGTCACCGAATGCATTAACTCCGCATGGCTATTGTAATCCCAAATTCTTCCTCACACTCCCGTCCTCCCTCACCCCCCTATCCCCCTCTTCTCTCATGTTCTCTCGGCAGACTTTATCCTTTTTTTTTTTTCTTTTTTTTCCAGCCCCTTTCGAAGGCTCCTTACCAAGAAGAGAGACGACTGCGCGAAATGCTTTACACATCCTGGACCTTCTCGCAGACAACAGCTCCACTTCCTTGGCTAAGAACTTAAGAACTGTCTGCTGCCGGTCCTGTGCTTGCGGGGGTGACGGCGCTTGTGATGCTTGGGAGCCACCGGCCGTGCTTTTATTCGGAATAATAGAAGGGGAGGAATTCACAGTTTCCAAGTCGTGTTATAAGTATTTCTCACAATATTGGATCTCTGTGTTGTTGTTGCGTTGCATTACTGGAACTCATTAAAACTTTATTCCGGTGCTTCTGCATAAAGGAGATTAATTATGCAAATGACCGACGGAACTTTTTTTTTTTTTTCCTTCTCTCTCTCAAAGTTATTAATCCTAGCTTGGAGGTTGCTGGTACTCCACCCAAACTGTGACTCTATAGTTCCTGAGATTATAGCTCAGCGGTCTTGGGTCGTACATCTGGCAATATATGTGTCGTGAAGGAGGTAGGTAGTGCTAAAGTTACACAACACTTACCCGAGCGTGAAGAACTTCCTGAAATGTATGAGTGCAGCCCTTACTATGGTGAAAGCTGTGTTGTTCTCTTCGCGGGAATAAAGTGTGTTTTGTATTATGCAAAGAAAGCCGGTGAGTTTCTCGCGATGATCCGACTGCATGCTGAGAAGAGTGGAATCATCCATTTTATCATCGGGGAGAATATAGGTTGGGAAAAAAAGGGGAAAATAATGCATTTTCTATTCATAATTTGCAGATATCATTGTTTACTGGGTAGCATGTCCGGTTCGACATATTAACAGTATTGGCGAATTGAGTAGGAGAGAGAGAGAGAGAGAGAGAGAGAGAGAGAGAGAGAGAGAGAGAGAGAGAGAGAGAGAGAGAGAGAGAGAGAGAGAGAGAGAGAGTAAAGAAAGATAGATAGATAGACAGATAAAGAGAGAGAGAAAAAAAGAGAGAGCATTCGAGAAAGAGAGAGTGAGGAGGAGGTAGCGAAAGAGAGATTAATGACATCAACAAAAAGATTCTGAGAGAGAGAAAAAAATTAGGTGGACAGATTAAGAGAGAAACGGTGAGAAATGTTGAACCCAAGTGGTTGCAAACAAGACAGGAATGAATATCAGAACTGACCCCCACACCACTCATGCCACGATACCATGACCCTCCGAGTTGCAAAAGTTGAAAATGAGAATAAGAAAGAAGGAATTAACAAATTTTCTTATGCTACTCCTAGCCACAGATAAGGAAAACGTTGCAACATCTACAGAAAAAAATACAAAAACAATACAAAAAACAAAACACGTACAGTTACATCCTTTGCGCGTCTGTTCATCATATAACAATGTAACTCAGCAAGAGGCAATACTCGTATAATAACACTGTTCTTCGTAGGATGGGTAATATTTAACAAGAAAAAACAAACAAACAAGTAACATTTTCTTCCCTTGATTAGCATTATTTCCTGGGAGAAAAAAAAAAGTTGGAAAAGAGGCTCAGTAATGATTATTAGTGCATAAGCATTTAAACTTCCAAGAGCGAAGTTTGAAGTTAAGAACTACAAAGAGAAAAGAAAAGAAAAACAATTATCCAATATCCCTTCCCTATATCCCTTTCAGTTTATATTGGTCTTATGTAAACACTGAGAAAAATGACGGTATTTGATGATCAAAAATAAGAATAAGAGAGAGGGGGGGGGCGGATTGAAATATAGATAAATAGACACATATACACATTTATACATGTATGTAAATATATGCATTTATATATACATATATATGAACCTATATATATATATATATATATATATATATATATATATATATATATATATATATATATGTTTATATATATATGTAGAAAAGGTATGAATGAGAATGAGTATCTTCACAATACAAGAGATGTATTTGACCCGTTTCGAATTATATCTTTGTCAGAAATACATACAACAGAAGAATTACAGAGCATATATATATATATATATATATATATATATATATATATATATATATATATATATATATATATGTATATATTTATACACACACATATGCATATATATATATGTACACACACACACACACACATATATATATATATATATAAACACACACACACACACACGCACACGCACACACACACACATACACATACACACACACACACACACACACACATATGTAAACACATCAACAGCCACCATCAATCGATGTCACAGGTGTTGGTCGATTCAGCTTTAGTGGATGTCTAATACTCCTTTCTTTTGGCATATTAGGCGTCGGCTGCACTTCAAAGCTTTGGATGTGCTTCGGTAAGACACGATTTGCTGCCAGATTTTCCCAAGAATAGGGGTTGATGCCCACAGCCTTTATGTCCCGTTTGTAGCGCAGTCGTGGGCAACCAGTTCCTCTTGTTCCTGCCATTTAGGATGGTCTTTGATATACTACCATCATCCATGCACCATTATTATATTTAGAATCTTATCTATATACATGTCACATCTTGTCAAATTACTGTATTGTATCTTTTTGTTCTCATAATTCCTAAATTGTTTGTTCTAGTTGTCTTGTATAAATTTGAAGGATTTAATTGTCCATATTGTTACAGTATTTCACCACTGAAGATGGGTGGAGTTCGCCCAAAACGTCTGGTTTAGTTTCAATAAAATACCAAAGTACAAGTACACACACACACACACATCCATGTGTATGTGTGTGTGTCTGTGTTGTGTATTTTGTGCTTGTGTGTGTGTTTTTGTGTATGTGTACATGCGTGGGTTTGAATGGTAAAACATTCTTCCATGTTGATACTATGGTAAAAAAAAAACAATACAAAATCAAGATTCATTGAAAATGAAAGCACAGTTTCGAAATCCACCAGGATTCCATCTTCAGGTCTGAAGACGGACCTGAAGATGGAATCCTGGTGGATTTCGAAACTTTGGTCTCATTTTCAATAAATCTAGTTGTGCATTGTGTTTTTTTTCTAGCATGTATGTGGATATGCGTTTGTATATATGTGTATGTGTCTGTGTGTGTTTTGTATGTGTATGTATGTATTCATGTGTGTGTGTGTGTGTGTGTGTGTGTGTGTGTGTGTGTGTGTGTGTGTGTGTGTGTGTGTGTGTGTGTGTGTGTGTGTGTGTGTGTGTGTGTGTGCATACATCCATACACAATATATATATGTTTATATATATATATATATATATATATATATATATATATATATATATATACATACACACACATACAAACACACACAATATATATATATATGTATATAGATAGATAGATAGATAGATATACATATATATAATTATATATATACATTCACATATATATACACGCATATACATACACACATATGTATCCACACGCACACACACCCATACACCCTCCCATATATATATATATATATATATATATATATATATATATATATATATATATATATATATATATTTATATATATATATATATATGTAGAGAGAGAGAGAGAGAGAGAGAGAGAGAGAGAGAGAGAGAGAGAGAGAGAGAGAGAGAGAGAGAGAGAGAGAGAGAGAGAGAGAGAGAGAGAGAGAGAGAGAGAGAGAGAGTTAGATAGGTAGATGGATTGATAGATAGATAGAAAGACACGCGGATAGAAAAAGGAATGGAAACAGATAAAGCCAGATTAGAATGAATCGATCTTAGCCCGGCGTCGGACGGGGAGCCGGGCGGCGACACCCAAGCCGTGCATCAGAATCAGTCATGTGCTAAAGTTCTCTCAAGCGTGCAATGCATCTCCTGCGTCACGTTATTTCCGGGAAAGGCGAGAATGAAAATACATCGAATCGTTTCCGTTTATTGGCGTTAACAAGGGATGTAGATGGGAAAATAACATTCATTCAGGAAACTGCATTTAACAAGTCCTAAGTGCATTCATTGTATGTTGTTAGTTCCCAATAGTAAAACAGGAGCATTGGAGGTGCATACATAGATTCGCAAGTACAGACATATATACATAAAAAAACGAAAACAATGTAACGATAGAAACGAAATAAAAGTATGGCGTTTCGAACTCACCAAGAGTTACAAACATAATAAAAGAAACACATTGTATCCTAATGCGTGTACACGTTTTTGTGTTTGTGTTTAACATACACATATTATACACTTATACACTTATTCCCAAGAGAGAAGTGAAAATTAAGTAAAACAGACAACTCTCAGCTACATCCTGTGATCATAACAAATGAACTTGAACCAGATTTAGAGAGGAAAGGAATAACTCAACAGCAGCGGCATCTAGTTTAATCTGGCGTTACCTTGCTGGGGGGAGGTACTGGCTGCCTGGCACGGTGGGAGGGTCGATCCCCCCGCCCCCCGAGCCTCCGGGAAATACTACTCCTGGCGATCCACCTCCTCCTGCGCCGCCACCGCCAGTGCTGCCACCACCACCGCCGCCACCAGAAGAGCCTCCGCCACCGGGAAATCCTCCACCACCTCCACTGCCGCCGCTGCCACCGAAACTCCCTCCTCCTCCTCCTCCGCCTACGCTTCCTCCTCCTCCACCAACAGTGGCACCACCGCCAGCATTTCCTCCTCCTCCTCCTCCACCGCCACTACCACCGAAAGTTCCTCCTCCTGTACCACCACCGCTACCAACTCCTCCTCCACCTCCACCTCCTCCTACTCCTCCTCCTCCTCCACTTCCACCTACTCCTCCACCTCCACCTGCTCCTACTCCTACTCCTCCTCCTCCTCCTCCTCCTCCTCCTCCTGTACCTCCACCCCCACCTCCTCCTCCTCCTCCTCCTCCACCCCCACCTCCTCCTCCTCCTCCACTCCCTCCACCCCCACCTCCTCCACCAGAATTCTCCGGAACCTTCCCGATCTCGGCGTTGAGGATGTAAAACTGATCGGAAGTGGAGCAGTCGAAGTTGAACCACCAGACGCACACGAAGTACTGCTGGCTGAAGATGGTTCCGTTCGGGCAGAGGAACGAGTGAATCCGGTTCGGGCGTTCGCATATGTGGAAGACCTGGAACGAGGCAGAGAGAGAGAGAGAGAGAGAGAGAGAGAGAGAGAGAGAGAGAGAGAGAGAGAGAGAGAGAGAGAGAGAGAGAGAGAGAGAGAGAGAGGGAGAGAGAGACAGAGTGAGAGAGGGAGAGAGAGACAGAGTGAGAGAGAGAGAGAGAGAGAGAGAGAGAGAGAGAGAGAGAGAGAGAGAGAGAGAGAGAGGGAGAGAGAGAGAGAGATATGAGATGAGAAGATAATAATACACTTTTTTTCTGATATGGGTTAGCCAACATATAACATATAGGAGGACGTAGGTACAAATGGACGGATAAGTGAATAACAGATAGATAGACAGACTGAGATAAATTGATTGGATAGATGAGTTGACAGACAGAAAAATTCCCCATCCCCCCCAAAAAAAAAAAAAAAATATATATAAAAGGAATAAACAATCAAACGTAAAACCCATGACTGAAAGAAGAAGAAGAAGGAGAAGGAGGTGAAAGAGAAGGAGGAAAAGGAGGGGGAGGAGGAGAAAAAAAAAGAGAAAGAGAAGGCGGAGAAGGAGGAGAAGGAAAAGAAGAAGGAGAAAGAGAAGAAGGGAAAGAGAAAGAAAAGAGAAAGAGAACGAGGAGAAGGAGGAGAAGGAAAAGAAGGAGAAGGAGAAGAAGGGGAAAGAGAAAGAAAAGAGAAAGAGAAAGAGAAAGGGAAAGAGAAAGAGAAAGAGAGAGAGAAAGAGAAAGAGAAAGAGAGAGAGAAAGAGAAAGAGAAAGAGAAAGAGAAAGAGAAAGAGAAAGAGAAAGAGAAAGAGAAAGAGAAAAAGAAAGAGAAAGAGAAGGGCGACGAGAAGGAGAAGAAGAAGGAGGAGAAGAAGAAGGAGGAGAATAAGAACCAGAACCGCCGCCTAATACACCAACGACCAGCCGCAAGCCGCTCACCTGGCAGCGCGCGTCGGGCGAGGGGTCCCCGTAGTACCCGGGCAGCCTGTCGACGCAGGAGAAGCCCGTGCTGGGGATGGACGCCAGGAGGGGGAAGTCCTCGCCGGGCACTCCGCCGCCGGGGATGGACGCCGCGAACCCCATCATGCCGCCACCTCCTCCTCCTCCTCCTCCTCCCCCTCCAGTTCCACCTCCACCTCCTCCTCCACTACCTCCTCCTCCTCCGGTTCCACCTCCTCCTCCACTACCTCCTCCTCCTCCAGTTCCTCCTCCACTACCTCCTCCTCCTTCAGTTCCACCTCCACCTCCTACTCCTCCCCCTCCTCCTATTCCACTTCCTCCCCCTATCCCTCCTCCTCCTCCTATCCCTCCTCCTCCTCCTCCTCCTCCAATTCCGCCTCCTCCTCCTATTCCACCTCCTCCTCCTATCCCTCCACCTCCTGTTCCTCCTCCCCCTATCCCTCCACCTCCAGTTCCTCCTCCTCCTATCCCTCCTCCTCCTCCTCCTCCTCCAATTCCGCCTCCTCCTCCTATTCCACCTCCTCCTCCTATCCCTCCACCTCCTGTTCCTCCTCCCCCTATCCCTCCTCCTCCTCCTATTCCTCCTCCACCACCTGTTCCTCCTCCTATTCCGCCTCCTCCTCCTGTTCCTCCTCCTGTTCCTCCTCCTCCTCCTATCCCTCCACCTCCTGTTCCACCTCCTCCCATTCCTCCACCATATCCAATTCCATCTATTCCTACCCATCCACCTCCCCCTCCCATTCCTCCTCCACCTCCCCCTCCTCCTCCCATTCCTCCTCCACCTCCCCCTCCTCCTCCCATACCTCCTCCACCTCCCCCTCCTCCTCCCATACCTCCTCCACCATACCCTCCCCCTCCCATTCCTCCTCCACCTCCCCCTCCTCCTCCCATACCTCCTCCACCATACCCTCCCCCTCCCATTCCTCCTCCACCTCCCCCTCCTCCTCCACCATACCCTCCCCCTCCCATTCCTCCTCCACCGTACCCTCCCCCTCCACCCGTCGACCTCGAAGTCCCTGAAGGCACGAGATTGAGCCTCACTCTCTTGAAGGCGTTGAGGAACTGGTTGAGGGATTGCTGCTGGGCGTCCAAGAGGCTCCCCGACAGCATTACCAACAAGGCTGTAAAAAAAAGAAGGAGAGAAAAGGAGAAAAGAAGAAGAAAAGAAGATTAATTATCGTTTAATGGTAACAGTCGAGGTTAAGGGGAGAGATGATGGGTCAATTATTGTTTTATGGTGATAATGGTCGTTAAGGGGATAATGTCAAATATCGGTTAATGGGTGAAAATATCCGTCAAGGAGATATTGGATCTATTAGAGTTTTATGGTGATAATGGTTGTTAGGAAGATAATGGGCTAATTATCGGTCAATGTTAATAGTGGTCGATACACAGGAAATGATAGATTAGTCATCATGAGAAAATTATAATAACGATAAAGCTGTTAAAGTTGATAATACCCACTGCAGAGAAAATTTATAATTATTATTATAATATATAAAAAGATAATCATTGTTCAAGAGAGAATAAAGTAATTCTTTTATTGTCTTTTAAAGTAAATATGGTAATGACTCATAGAAGGGAATAAATCATCACAATTAATGACGTTAGTTGCTATTGCAAGAATGGATTGATCATCTCAATTTCCCCCCTTAGATGATAGTTTATTTGGTGTACAGAGAATGAAGGAAGAATCAGATAATCATGTTAACTGCTGAGAAGAGAATGGATGAATTAAGTAAATGAATACAGTTGAGAGTAATAATCACTGTAGAGAGAATGGCTTAATTAACATTTGAAATAATGATTAGAGATATCACTGTTATGGAGAACATGTTAAACTGGGAGAAAAGTAATGATCATAATTACTAAGGAGAGAATAGATCAATCACTTTCCTAAAAAGTAGTAAATTATAGTTTCTGTTGAGAAATTGTTGCTGGAAAAATGAATTATGTTAGATTATAACCCAGTTTATTTTCAAGACAGTTATCTCATCAAGAAGAGTGGTATATGGAAGCTAGTCCTTTGGTATCCTGATATCACTGGTATCTTACGGTCAGTGTTTGGACGTATAAACAAGAAGGGAAAGATTCAGGACAGAAGAAAGGGTAAAAGAAAGAATTGTAAACAAACAAACAAACTAAATGGATGACGGGATAAAGGAAGAAAAAAAAGGCAAATGATTTTACTAATTTTGGAAAAAAAAAACATAATGAATCGTGCATTTTTAACTGCATGTCATTCCACGTGATCAGACATCAAACGTCCATGTCACAGATTTCAATGAAATATTGCATATTATCATGAAATCTAATTATCATAGATTCAGAAACGGTAGCGATGGTGTATATATACATATACAGAAATGTATATATATATATATATATATATATATATATATATATATATATATATATATATATACATATACACACACACACACACACACACACACACACACACACAAATATATATGTATATATATATATATATATACACACATGCAAATATACATTTATACACACACACACACACACACACACACACACACACACACATATATATACATATATATATACATATACACACACATTTCTATATATATATGTATACATATATACATATATATATATATATATATATATATATATATATATATATATATATATATATATATATATATTATATATATATATATATATATATATATATATATATATATATATATATATATATATATATATATATATATATATATATATATATATATATATATATATATATATATATATATATATATATATATATATATATATATATATATATAAAGGGAGAGAGAAAGAGAGAGAGAGAGAGAGAGAACCAGGCAGAAACGGAAAACGGAGAGGAAATGAAATAGAGGAAAGGGAAGCATGGTGACAGACAGGTAAAGAGACGGGCAGACAAACAGAAACAAAGAGGGAGAGAGAGGCAGAGAAATACAGAGAGAGAGAGAGAGAAAGAGAGAGAGAGAGGGAGAGGCGGATAACGGAGAGGAAAGCAGAAAGAGAGAGAAAGAGGAAGCTGATAGACAGAGACTGACAGACAAGCACAGAGATGGACAGAGAAACAGACAGACAGGCACAGATATGGACAGACAGACAGACAGACAGGTACAGAAATGGACAGGGACACAGATAGACGGGCACAGGGATGGACAGAGAGACTGACAGACAGGCACAGGGATGGACAGAGGGACAGACAGACCGACACAAGGAAAGCGACACATCCAACCCGGCCCGAGTTCGGCGCATCACACTGACCCAACAATCCGACACGTGTCATTTTTAATTAATGGCTGTTTGACAGCTTATTTTTGTCTCTTTCTTTTTGGATATTTGCTCGTGATATTCGAGCCGCTCGCGACAAAGCTTCCCGCTCGATTCGGACGATGACGAAGTGAGCATGTTCTGCTAAAGATAGCAATTCGAGTAGCGTTTAGCAAGTCTGAGAGAAAGACGATCGAAATCCAGTATAGAAAGCTGTTATATAGAGAGGAAGGAGCTGGTTCGTTTCAAAGGCGTTTCTGAATGAGTTTACGTATATCTAAATCAGTCGGGAGTTGTAACAAGCAAGGCAATACTGCATTTGAATTCGTGAATCGTATTCAGCATTCATTTTCTAATGAACGCTACCAATAAGCAAAAGCAGATACAAATACAAAAGATTAAAACTAAACCCAGTAATTGCTCCATGAATAACGCAAATAAAAAGTATGCTAAACTTACATTAAGAAATCTTAGTCCAATACACGGTTATAATTATACCGATAAAACCACTTTTCCTCTCTTTATCGCCATGCAGCATCGAGAGCAAAACGTTAAAGTGCATGAGATGAGGGGAATCATGTCATCTGGTGGTCATGAAAGACCGAATGATTCATGACTGCATGGTTTACGCGTGAAGGGCATGCATTAGATAGTAAGCCATATCAGCAGTCTTTTAAAAGAAATCTGACTTTTTTCTTCTTTTTTTTTACTTTCTAGTGTGAGTTACATACTATACAATTCTGTGGAGAGAGGGGATGAGTGAGTGAATGAAGAGGGGATGGAGGAAGAGAGGGAGGAGGAGAGAAGGAAGAGAGGGAGAAGGAGAGAAGGAAGAGAGGGAAAAGGAGAGAGGGCGAGAGAGGGAGGAAGGAAAGAGGGAGGAGGAGAGAAGGAAGAAGAGAGGAAGAAGGAGAGAGGAGAAGGGGAAAGGGAGAAAGGGAGAAAGAGAGAGAGAGAGAGAGAGAGAGAGAGAGAGAGAGAGAGAGAGAGACAGACAGACAGACAGAGACAAAGAGAGAGAGAGACCGAGAGAGAAACAGACAGACAGACAGAAAAACAGACAGATAGATAGAGAGTACGAGACCAGGATATACCGTGCCTTCATTCTCATTTTTTCCCTCCTTCTCCTTCACACTAAATTCAACAATACTCAACCCTGATCACACACACAAAACAATTCCTTAAACACACACACACACAAACCGCACAATCCCATTACCATTATCACTCTGCATTTTGCTTACCAACCACAACATTCCGGCAAGAAGCAATGGTCATGGTCCTTGCGTATCCTCAAATGCACTGCCACTACATAAAGGATGTATTCAACACTCCGGATTATACGCTTCTGAGGTGTCAATCAGTTTCCTCGTTATTTTATAATCTATGGCACTGAGTTACCGATTATCACTTTGCTTTATTGCTTTGTGAAGCGATATTTTCATCTGTCTATCCCTGCTTTGGTATCGGTTGGTTGTAGCGATTTTCCTCAAGATTAAATTCTGGATTAAATAAATAGGGATTTTTTTTTAAGGCCTATCGGTAAATAATTCGTTTTATATACACAGAAAAAGGCATTGGCACCTCACGCCGCGTAATGAGTAACAAACCTTGCGTGATTATCTTGCCAGTTACGCAAACCTGATTATCATTTTGACAAGAGGCGTCTGTGAACTGTGGCATGTGACGGCTGTACTGTGCAATTAACTGAAAGTCGAATCGCTTTTCCTGTAATATGTGTATAGCTCAGTTAGGTGACGTAAGAGGGAGCTCATGCAATAGACTCTCACTTTTATTGTGCTCTTCATATCGCGAATATTTTCAGGCGAAAATAGTTTATAATTGTAACTGTATTTCCGCAAAAATAAGCTTTAGAAACACACACACACAAACACACACACACACACACACACACACAAACACAC